TACTAATGCTGGCCACAAGATTTTATTAATGAGGGTAAATATTGTTTTTGCTCACTTGTGTTTTTGGTAACTGGGGATGAGTGCTAGCAAGATTTCGAGTTTTACTCAGTGCACATCCTGCTGCATGTATGCATGCCTGAATAAATGTGTTTTTTTTTTTTTTTTTTTAAATTGATGTACTTGATAAAATATTGGGGATTGGTTTTGCATTCTTTATTTTTAATCTCCTTTTACTTCTCTACTAAGCCACATTGGTTTCAATTTGTTTTTTTATATTTATTACCCAATGGCACACTCTGAGAAATGTACTTTTCTAATATTTGTTTGAAGACTTTCCATTTATCCTCCGTTGTTTTTTTTTTTTCCCACTAAAGGGGTTTATGCCAGTCGATATGTTTGTAGAGCTGCCCTAATCTTATTGAAATTGGCTTTTTTAAAATTATATGTTTTAGTATACCCAACGTGCTTTTGCTTTTTTGAGTTTATTTTAAAAATTACCATATTGTGATCACTATTTCCCAAATGCTCCCCTACTTGAATGTTGGTCAAAAGATCAACATTGTTATGACAAGATCCAGACAGGCATCCTTTCTAGTTGTGACATGAAGGTGTCATTTAACACATTCAAAAACCTAATTCCCCTTGTTGAAGTACTAGTCACGTTATCCCAATTTATGTCTGGGTAATTAAAATCTCCAATAATTTTAATGTTTTACAGCTTTCCCAATTTGCTTTAACAGCTGTTCTTCCTCATTACTATTTACATTAGGTGGTTTATAACATACCCCAACCACTAATTGATTTCCCTTTGTTTGCCCCAAGCAGATATCTACCCATAAAGCTTCCACATTTTACTTGTCACACTCCACATGCCTAAGATTTGACTTTAACTCATGGTTGACATACAAACATACCCCACCCCCCTTCTTGTTTTTCCTATCCTTCCTAAAAAAAAAATTGTACCCATTTAAGTTAACTGCCTCATCAGGTGTCTCATCCCACCAGGTTTCTCTTATGACTATTATTTCATAGTGTATGCTATTGCCTCTAGCTCCCCCATTTTGTTATTTAAGCTTCTTGCATTAGTAAGCATACATTTAGTATTATCATGAGTCATTTGTACTTCTTTAAATCAATATTACATACTTCATGATATTACGTTCATAAATCTCCAGGTTATGCCCTTAGTCAGTCCTAGTGTCAACAAAGCTGAACTGTGATAATCCTATTGGTTATACTTCGGTCCTGTTATTCAAAAACCCAGTGTTAACCATGGGACAACAATCCTTTGGGCACTTAACGGTGGAGGGGGAGACAGGGTCTTATCCATCTCCTGGATTACACAGCATTGCAGGACAGTCATTGGAGCCTGTTTCCTCCTACGGGGACCTAGATCCCCTTTTGCCTCCCTCCCCCCCCACCCCGCCCTCCCTTATCGGGGCCCCCTCTGCCCCTAATCTCTTATTACTTCTTTCTTTTCTTGTAATACCCTTTCCTACAGGGTACATTTCATGAAACATGCAAGCATACTTGTAATTCTTATAATGTACAAATGCTCAATGAGATAACTTGTGAAGATGATTTATACTACTTTGCAGACAAATGTTTCCGCTCATCACTGCAAACTTTGTAAAGATATTTTGACATACTATGTTGCTAGTTCATGTTTCTGTTAAAATGTGCAATTATATCACTCCATGACAATGTATTTTTTGTGAATTGATGTAATAATTTATGTCAACTGTTATGGCTACTCAAGCTTACAATTGCTTTCTGCACAATAAATATAAAGAATAAAAAAAACAAAAGATGGTATCATAACAATAATAAAATTAATAGGGATCTCTCTAACAAAATTAAGAACCAACATAGAGATAAATCTATAAAAAAAATTGATGACTAAAGGAGGAAAGGCTGTAAATCTACCTAAAGATATAGCAGAGGCTTTTGCAACATTCTATAGCTCACTATATAACTTAGAGGAGGTTAAGGTAAGCAATGAAGAAATTGATAGATTTCTCAAGGATCTTGGACTTCCTAGGTTAAGCTTAGAGAAACTAGAATATATAAATGCTCCCTTTAGAGAATTGGAAATTGAAGAAGCGATGGAGAAATTAAAACCAAATAAGGCCCCTGGCCCAGACGGATTCTCTGCTATCTTTTATAAAACATATATGAAAACAATTACTCCAATCCTTTTAGAGATGTTTTCGTCAATATCTAGTGATGTTTCATTCCCAAAAGAGATGATGTTAGCAACAATTATTCCGATTCCAAAGCCAGATAAGGATAATTCAATAATTGCTAACTATAGACCAATATCACTTATAAATGTTGATATTAAAATATTCTCGGCTATATTGGCCAATCGTTTAAAAGAAGTACTGGGAGATTTGATTAATTGGGATCAATCAGGATTTGTGAAAGGAAGAAGTACCTCTGACAATACAAGGAGGATTTTTAATATAATAAATAGAGTGAGCGGTCAACAAAGGGAAGCTGTTATTATTTCTTTAGATGCCGAGAAGGCCTTTGACAGAGTCAATTGGAGATTCTTGGACTCTGTCATGGGCCATTTCGGACTGGAGGGAGCATTTAGAAATAAAACTTTATCTTTATATAGGAATTCCTCGGCAAGAATTAGCAGCCCATATTTTGACTCTGATCCCTTTGATATTAGGAATGGTACTAGGCAGGGCTGCCCGCTAGCACCACTCCTGTATATCCTTACAATCGAACCGCTGGCTATGATGATAAGACAGAATGAAAAGATAAAAGGAATAGATTTTCAAGAGGAACATATTAAAATATCTTTGTTTGCAGATGATGTCTTACTTACCCTTGTTGACCCCTTACTATCAATTCCACCGTTGTTAGAAGATATCTCTACATATAGCAAACTTTCTAATTATAAGGTTAATATTAATAAATCTCAAGTGCTTCCATATTTATTGACCAAGGTACAGCTAGAAATTTTGTATTCCTATTTTCATATAGAATGTGTAAAAGATAAAATTGAATATTTAGGTATAAAGATAACATTTCATATTATAAAGACAATTCGGATAAATTTTGATAATCTATATAAAGATCTACAATCCCAGATACATAAATTGAAGAGATTAGAACCATCTTGGATAGGAAGAGTTAATATTACCAAATCGTATTTAATGCCAAAACTCCTATACTTTTTTAGGATGATTCCATACAATATTGAACGGGGCACCTTGAAGCGCTTTCAAAATTTATTTTCTAGCTATATATGGCGCGATAAACCACCCAGAATAGCGACGGAAATTTTATGTAGAAGTTACCGGAAAGGGGGTATAGCATTTCCCGATGTGATTAAGATGTATGAGGCAAACAGGGCCTCTCAACTTATGACATGGCTAAATTTGGACCAAAATATATCTAAATCTTGGATTAAAATCGAACAGAAATCAGAACCAGGGCAAAAGTTATATATCTTAGGATGGCTAGGACTCCTGAACCTGGGGGCTTTGGATATGGAACAATTTCCTAATAAAATTATAGGAGATATGGTGGATTTTGCAAAATATTTGAATATTAAGTTGAAACTTAAAGGAAAATTATTGTTTAATACACCTATAGAAATACTTCAATATGCTATGTCAGATATAAATATTAAAACTTGGATTCATTTTGGCATTAAAAAAATTGGAAATCTATATGAGGGATCTAAACTGGCGACATATACACAACTACAATCAAAATACAAGTTTTTATCTAGGGAAATATTCCAATACCTAAGGATCAAGAATTTCCTCTTAACTAAAATATTGATTAAAGATCACTATCTTGAACCTTATATTATATGTAGTCAAAAAAAGGGAGGAATCTCTAGATTTAATAAATTGTTTGATACATTAGATAATGTTGTCGATGTGCCTCCATTTGGTAAGTGGGAGGGATATGGGGAAATCCCTCCCACTTAAAGAATGGACAAATGCTACAATGTTAGTAAAACAAAGTATACATAATATATCCTTACTTGAAACGCACTTAAAGATTATCTACAGGTGGTATATGGTCCCGGTTAGACTTCATAAAATATCTCCATCTTATTCAAAAGAATGTTGGAGATGTAGAAGAGAAGAGGGCACTATGCTACATATATGGTGGGCCTGTACGGGCCTGAATAACATCAAAATTCAAATGTTAGACTTAATGAAAAGTATTTTTAGGGAGGTAGTAATTAGCCCTGAAATGTTTCTGTTCAATATGGACTATAAAACAAATGATAAACAACAAAAATATATTATGACACATATATTCCTGGCAATAAAAATTAATATCGCCAGAGCATGGAAATCTCCTAACCCACCACACTGGCAAGAAATAATGGAGCAAATAAGGTTTCAATATAAGATGGAATCTCTAACCAAGGATTTGAAAGAGCTCTGGTTACCTTGGACTTCCAAATTCCCTATATAACATATAATAACGAGCTGTAAGTTTGAGGTCCATCCCTTATCAAGTCTCATATAAATGTTTTTTGTTTTTTTTTTGCTATATGTATGTTTTGTTGTTGTGAACAATATATAATGTTAATGCTATAATGCTATGGATGATTAAATGAATATATATGATTGTAGTAATATTAAGGATGTAATATTGATATTTGTAAAATCAGTATAATTGCTTATTTGATATGTATAAAAGGAAGGAAAAATATTGATAAATAAAATAAATATTAAAAAAAACAAAAACCCTAAAATTAACCATACTATGCAAATTATACAGTATGTATTAGGGCTCTTTAGAGGATAAATTCCAAGAAGTGGTACACTAGATTTACTAGGCATTATGACTTATCAAACTGCCTCCAAATTGATGCACAAGTTTTAAGGCTCCCCATATCTCCTCAAACCATAGAAGAATAGAGGATATCTATATTAATTCACATTTTTCCTAAATAACACATTTCTAAATGATCATTGAGGATGTCTTTCCCCAGTGAGGGAACTGGGGAATACCAAGTGGAGAAAGGGTGGGGGAAGGAGAGCAGAAAAGAAAAAACAAAAACACACTAAAGCCAAACATGGACTGTTTCTTTTGTTTTTATTCCAGATCGGATGGTAGAAAAACTGTTTGAACAATGACATGGTTGCTAAAAAGGTAACTAAAAACACATAGTGTCGTAATTGCCATCATTACAGTTTAGGTGTTCGATACGACTCAAATTAAAAAGCATTCGCTGTTCGGCTGACAAGAGAATGGGGAAAATAAAAAAGTCACATGCCCTTATAATGTAGCAAGATCTGGTTTAGTACTCTTCACCCTCCTCCTCACCTTCTCCTTCCACGGAATCTACACCAACTTCTTCGTAATCTTTCTCCAGGGCAGCCATGTCTTCACGGGCCTCAGAAAATTCGCCCTCCTCCATACCCTCACCAACATACCAGTGCACAAAGGCACGTTTGGCATACATAAGATCAAATTTGTGGTCCAGACGGGCCCAGGCTTCAGCAATTGCAGTGGTGTTGCTCAACATACACACAGCACGCTGTACCTTGGCCAGGTCCCCACCTGGAACCACAGTTGGTGGCTGGTAGTTAATACCAACCTTGAAACCAGTGGGACACCAGTCTACAAACTGGATGCTACGCTTGGTCTTGATGGTGGCAATAGCTGCATTAACATCTTTGGGCACAACATCACCACGATACAACAGGCAGCAAGCCATGTATTTACCGTGACGTGGGTCACATTTCACCATCTGATTAGCTGGCTCAAAGCAGGCATTTGTGATCTCAGCAACAGAGAGCTGCTCATGGTAAGCTTTCTCTGCTGAAATAACAGGGGCATAAGTGGCCAGAGGGAAATGAATACGAGGATAGGGTACCAAGTTGGTCTGGAATTCAGTAAGATCAACATTCAGGGCACCATCAAACCTGAGAGAGGCTGTAATAGAGGACACTATCTGACTAATTAGACGATTGAGGTTGGTATATGTGGGACGCTCAATATCTAGGTTTCTACGGCAAATGTCATAGATAGCCTCATTGTCCACCATAAAAGCGCAATCTGAGTGCTCCAAGGTGGTATGAGTAGTGAGAATGGAGTTGTATGGCTCAACCACAGCTGTTGAGACCTGGGGCGCAGGGTAGATTGAGAACTCCAGCTTGGACTTCTTTCCATAATCAACAGAGAGACGCTCCATCAGAAGGGATGTGAAACCAGAGCCAGTACCGCCACCAAAACTGTGGAACACCAGGAAACCCTGAAGACCTGTGCACTGATCAGCCTGTGGGAAGAAAACCAGTGTTTACAATGTTTAAAACTGATCTATACAAGATAATGCCAAATTAATATAAGTTAATTTTAAAAATGTGTAGACACTACTCCGCAAATTTGCAAATGAAAACCATGCAGTTTCTGAGAAATTATATCATTTACATTCTGCAGTTTCCACATCTACTAGTGGCTGTAAGAAATAGACATATTAAATCCCATCTGTATTATATCCAGTGTCTCTATCAGACTTCATTGAATTCAATGCTTCTTATAGGGGAGCACTAGATTGTTGGGATGCAGCAATTGCAGCATGTTTGCCATGTCCACAATGTTTCTCTATAAGAAGCATATGATTAAACACGCATCCAATTGATGATTTAACTGGTGACAAACTGTGCAGCAGAAAGGAAAACTGCACTGGCACTGGATTAGCTGCAAGTTTAATGGATATTACACTAAAAAAAAAAAAGAAACTGAATTTTGCTGTTATTTTTTGATACAGATATATATGCCCTTCATATTAGGAAATAATTTATAATACAATGAATGTATGGGAAAGTAGTCTGGTACACAAAATGGATATTTAAATTCACTCAGACACTGAACAGGTTTTAAGAAAGAATTACTGTCATCTGCCACACTTAAGAGAATCACTAGGGATAACAACATGTATTTTTTTTTTTTCATCACAAATTACATGTTCATTGCAGGGTAGTATTCCATTATACATTTGCTAACAGTTCACTAGTCCAAAGCATAGAAAACCAAATTAAAATGTTAACGCAATACCGTTAATGTTTATGGATAATGAATATGAGTAAACCTTTTGTATCAGAAATATCACTCAGTATTTGCTTACGTAAAGCCATGGGGGAGTCAAACATATCAGCAAGTGCTGCACATTAAACTTACCAGTTTCCGGATTCGGTCCAAAACCAGGTCAATAATTTCTTTGCCGATTGTGTAATGCCCACGGGCATAGTTATTGGCAGCATCTTCTTTGCCTGTAATTAGTTGCTCTGGATGGAATAACTGTCGATAGGTTCCAGTGCGCACCTCATCTGAATAAGGAAAAATATATAGATTGTTCAGTAGTTTCTACAGATCTATGCACATTAGAAGCCGAAGAGTATGAGGGGTCTGACTAGACCTTACCAATGACCGTTGGTTCCAGATCTACAAACACAGCCCTGGGGACATGTTTTCCAGCTCCAGTCTCACTGAAGAAGGTGTTGAAGGAATCGTCCCCTCCTCCAATGGTCTTGTCACTGGGCATCTGCCCATCAGGCTGAATGCCATGTTCCAGGCAGTACAGCTCCCAACAGGCATTACCAATCTGGACACCAGCCTGACCAACGTGGATAGAGATGCACTCACGCTACAACAGAGATAAATTAAATATTAGCATTTCATGAGTTAAGGAATACAAATCATAGACATTATGTATGTGGACCAGCTAACATACACAAAACTTGTGGACGGCAACCTACAAAATAATATTAAGAATACGATCAGTAAGCCTTATTCTTTTACGGTGTCCACACAGCACAACACATTTTTTCATATCATACATGCTGGAAATATTGAACAGCATCAAATCCATATCTTAATTCTAAAAGCTGCAACAATAGGTAGGCTAATCACACCCACAGCAGTCAGCTGACACTACTTCCACGTTAGCAGACAAGAGCTTGCAAGTGGCTTCCACCCCCACACTTCATCCGATTGACTATGAAAGAGGAACAGCTGCAGTTGGCTTTGAAGTGAATAAGGATTAGGTTTTAAGATGGATTGTTTCTGAATTTATTGATCTATGTTTATTGTTCTTCCAGCTGCTGCTAGTCCATAGCAGCCACAGAGGCTATTCCATATATCATAAAAGATGCCACCGAGAATTGCTCGCTAAGTCATGTAGTTATTATATATTTGACATCTCTAAATTACTGATCTTGACTAACAATTTCATTACAATACAGTTCAATCTAGTTTGCCTTTTAATGGGAAAAAATATATACTGCAAGGGAAGAATCCTACAAATTACATTTCAAGGAGTTCCCATTCATTCTTTTACTGCCCACCAAAACCTGACACTGAATTATATCACACTGCTACCCCCTACGTCCTTTAGGATTACACTGCAAGTATATTTAAACTCTGCTTTTCTATAACTTTCCTACCAATTCCTGACTTTAGATTAACATGTATCATCCTAGACGTGACCCATAAGGGACTTTACCCCAGAAATATTAATGAAACAGTAGAGGGAGGGGGGCTATTTCTTTGCCCATCCTTGGATTATGAGAATGCATGCATGACGTCACACATGCTCATGAATGCAGCTATTGAAGGACCCCCACCCATCTCCGCAGGCTGCTGATCGAGAAAGACCATGAACGTGCACGCGCGCCCTATTCTCCTGTCTCGAACAGTGACGCGCGCTCCCGTGGATCGGTCACACGCATGACAAGATTCGATTCGAATTCTCCAATTTAGATCACTGAAGCGTTGAAAAAGCCATTATCGCGTCATTAAGCCCGAATTAACGTGAGGTCAGCGACCGAAAAGGATTTTATGTCATAAGTGGCCAGAAGGGGAGAGGGGGAGCTATTCCTTCATAAAAAGACATGCAGAGTGGTTACTAAGGCAGCAATCCCCGGCTAGCGAAAGGAATATAAAGCTGTACTCACCATGTTTCAATTCGGCGAAGGGTGAAGAGAGAGAGACAGGGAAAAAATTTTTTAAAATAAAAATGAGTTACTTTATCCGACAGCTAAGAGTGGATGTAAGTAACAGAATGAACAGCCGCGAGCCCGAGCCGGCATTATATACAGTATGGGCGGTGACGTCAGGCTCGGATTATGGTAATTGCGCGAGGGCGGCCGCTGATTGGTCGAGCTGTAATAACTGACTGTACGAACGCGGGAGGCGGCAGCTACTGGTCCCCCTCGACAAATGGCTCTACGGCTCCCAACATGGCGGCTCCATCCTTCCCCTCCTCCCTGCGGCACTGCCCGAAAATCACTGCCTTCTCCTAGCACCCGGGCAATCACAGGGCCCCATAGTGCTGGAGCAGGCATTGCTTTATACAATTACATTATAGGACACCCAATAAAATATCACCTGGCAGCTATATTAACACTGACTGTCATACACACACACAGAGAGAGAGCATTAACACTGACTGTCACACACAGAGAGAGAGAGCATTAACACTGACTGTCATACACACACACACAGAGAGAGCATTAACACTGACTGTCACACACAGAGAGAGAGAGCATTAACACTGACTGTCATACACACACACAGAGAGAGAGCATTAACACTGACTGTCACACACAGAGAGAGAGAGCATTAACACTGACTGTCATACACACACACAGAGAGAGAGCATGTAACACTGACTGTCACACACACAGAGAGAGAGCATTAACACTGACTGTCATACACACACACAGAGAGAGCATTAACACTGACTGTCACACACACAGAGAGAGAGAGCATTAACACTGACTGTCACACACACACACACACACACAGAGAGCATTAACACTGACTGTCACACACACAGAGAGAGAGAGCATTAACACTGACTGTCACACACACAGAGAGAGAGAGCATTAACACTGACTGTCACACACAGAGAGAGCATTAACACTGACTGTCACACACACAGAGAGAGAGAGCATTAACACTGACTGTCACACACAGAGAGAGAGAGCATTAACACTGACTGTCACACACAGAGCATTAACACTGACTGTCACACACACAGAGAGAGAGAGCATTAACACTGACTGTCACACACACACACACACACACACACACACAGAGCATTAACACTGACTGTCATACACACAGAGAGAGAGCATTAACACTGACTGTCACACACACAGAGAGAGAGAGCATTAACACTGACTGTCACACACAGAGAGAGAGCATTAACACTGACTGTCACACAGAGAGAGCATTAACACTGACTGTCACACACAGAGAGAGCATTAACACTGACTGTCACACACACAGAGAGAGCAGTAAACACTGACTGTCACACAGAGAGAGAGCATTAACACTGACTGTCGCACAGAGAGAGAGCATTACCACTGACTGTCACACAGAGATAGCATTAACACTGACTGTCACACAGAGAGAATTAACACTGACTGTCACACACACACACACACACACACACACACACACACAGAGAGAGCATTAACACTGACTGTCACACAGAGAGAGAGCATTAACACTGACTGTCACACAGAGAGAGCATTAACACTGACTGTCACACAGAGATAGCATTAACACTGACTGTCACACAGAGAGAATTAACACTGACTGTCAGAGAGAGAATTAACACTGACTGTCACACAAAGGGAGAGCTTTAACACTGACTGTCACACAGAGAGAGAGCATTAACACTGACTGTCACAGAGAGTGAGAGAATTAACACTGACTGTCACACAGAGAGAATTAACACTGACTGTCACAGAGAGAGAGAATTAACACTGACTGTCACAGAGAGTGAGAGAATTAACACTGACTGTCACACAGAGAGAATTAACACTGACTGTCACAGAGAGCATTAACACTGACTGTCACACAGAAAGAATTAACACTGACTGTCACAGAGTGAGAGAATTAACACTGACTGTCACACAGAGAGAGAATTACCACTGACTGTCACAGTGAGAGAATTACCACTGACTGTCACAGAGAGAGAATTACCACTGACTGTCACACAGAGAGAGATTTAACACTGACTGTCACACAAAGACAGAGCTTTAACACTGACTGTCACGCAGAGAGAGAGCATTAACACTGACTGTCACACAGAGAGAGCTTTAACACTGACTGTCACACAAAGACAGAGCTTTAACACTGACTGTCACGCAGAGAGAGCATTAACACTGACTGTCACACCGAGAGAGCATTAACACTGACTGTCACACACAGAGAGAGAGCTTTAACACTGACTGTCACATAGAGAGAGCATTAACACTGACTGTCACACAGAGAGAATTAACACTGACTGTCACACAGAGAGAATTAACACTGACTGTCACAGAGAGAGAGAATTAACACTGACTGTCACAGAGAGTGAGAGAATTAACACTGACTGTCACACAGAGAGAATTAACACTGACTGTCACAGAGAGCATTAACACTGACTGTCACACAGAGAGAATTAACACTGACTGTCACAGAGAGTGAGAGAATTAACACTGACTGTCACACAGAGAGAGAATTACCACTGACTGTCACAGTGAGAGAATTACCACTGACTGTCACAGAGAGAGAATTACCACTGACTGTCACACAGAGAGAGCTTTAACACTGACTGTCACACAAAGACAGAGCTTTAACACTGACTGTCACGCAGAGAGAGAGCATTAACACTGACTGTCACACAGAGAGAGCTTTAACACTGACTGTCACACAAAGACAGAGCTTTAACACTGACTGTCACGCAGAGAGAGCATTAACACTGACTGTCACACAGAGAGAGCATTAACACTGACTGTCACACAGAGAGAGAGCTTTAACACTGACTGTCACACAAAGACAGAACTTTAACACTGACTGTCACGCAGAGAGAGAGCATTAACACTGTCACACAGAGATAGAGCATTAACACTGACTGTCACACAGAGAGAGAGAGCTTTAACACTGACTGTCACAGAGAGAGAGCATTAACACTGACTGTCACACACAGAGAGAGAGCATTAACACTGACTGTCACACAGAGAGAGAGCATTAACACTGACTGCCACACAGAGAGAGAGAGAGCATTAACACTGACTGTCACACAGAGAGAGAGAGCATTAACACTGACTGTCACACAGAGAGAGCATTAACATTGACTGTCACAGTAGAGAGAGGAGAGTTGCAGAGCTGCCATAACTGGGATAAAAAGCCACAGGGACACCGAGTGAATTACTGAATGACAGAACAGCTGCTAACACGGCCAGTACTGTTAGTACCCCAGCTATTGGTAAACTACGTTTCCCATGATGCTCGGTCTCCGTGCCTTGTTATCTAGGGGAATAATGGCCGCACCGTAGGCTGTCCAGCACGATGTGACTGGTTTACAGTTCACGGTGCCGTACATTTCCCTTGAGGAACAGCTCAAACACCGGCCAGTCTCCATCTAGGATTTCAATGTTGGCTAAATCGATCACCAGTGACACTAGGAAACTAGTCAGGAGTGACTGACATTGTGTGGTATTTACTAAAGTAACATCTGAATTATCCACCCAGCAGGTTAGACATGGAGGGAGAGACAGCCATGGCAGGGAGGGCTGGGAACATGGCATCCTGCAGACACACTGCGGCATCCTCCCTCCTGGCAGCAGCCCAACCATGTCACATAGGGAGCCTCCCTCCCTGCTAACTATGGCGGAAAGGACCAGCCCGCCTTTACCTTTACTCAGACATGTAGGGCTAGCTCTGTTCTAACATCATCCATATAATTAGTATGGCTGTCCATTACATCATCTATGTAACTATTATGGCTGTCCATAACATCATCCATATAATTAGTACTGCTGTCCAAAACACCATTCATATAGCTAGAATGGCTGTGAGGAAATAGTATCATTCTTATAACTAGTATGGCTGTCCATAACATCATCCATATAACTAGTATGGCTGCAAATTGTAACATTATCCATATAATTAGTATGGCTGCAAATTGTAACATTATCCATATAACTAGTATGGTTGCCCATAACATCATCCATATAACTAGTATCGCTGTCCATAACATCATCCATGTAACTAGTATGGTTGTAAATTATAACATCATCCATATAACTACTAGTATGCTTGTCCATACCATCATCCATGTAACTAGTGTGGCTGTAAGTTACAACATTATATAACTAATATGGCTGTGAGTTATATCATTATATAACTAGTATGGCTGTGAATTATAACTTTATCCATATAACTAGTATAGTTGTGAATTATATTATCCATATAACTAGTATGGCTGTGAATTAAGCCATTATATAACTAGTATGGCTGTGAGTTATAACATTGTCTTTATAACTAGTATGGCTGTGAATTATAACTTTATTCATATAACTAGTATGGCTGTGGATTATAACATTATCTATATAACCAGTATGGCAGTGAATTAAAACTTTACCCATAAAACTAGTATGGCTGTTAATTATAACATTATCCATATAACCAGTATGGCTGTGAATTATAACATTATCCATTTAACCAGTATGGCTGTGAATTATAACATTATCTATATAACTAGTATGGCTGTTAATTATAACATTATCTATATAGCTAGTATGGCTGTGAATTATAACATTATCCATATAACCAGTATGGCTGTGAATTATAACATTATCTATATAACTAATATGGCTGTGAATTATAACATTATCTATATAGCTAGTATGGCTGTGAATTATAACATTATCTATATAGTTAGTATGGCTGTGAATTATAACTTTATCTATATAGCTAGTATGGCTGTGAATTATAACTTTATCTATATAGCTAGTATGGCTGTGAATTATAACATTATCTATATATAACTAATATGGCTGTGAATTATAACATTATCTATATAACTAATATGGCTGTGAATTATAACATTATCTAGTTAGTATGGCTGTGAATTATAACTTTATCTATATAGCTAGTATGGCTGTGAATTATAACATTAGCTATATAGCTAGTATGGCTGTGAATTATAACATTATCTATATATAACTAATATGGCTGTGAATTATAACATTATCTATATAACTAATATGGCTACCCGTGCAGTCAGTCATCCTGTGACCAGACTGCTAATT